GGGATCTCGCTGCTCGGGTCCCCAGATGACCCCGGCTGGTGGCCACTGGGGAGGACAGACCCAAGGGCAGATGGTGGCCACGCGACCCACTAAATGACTCCTCAGTAAGTTCCGTGGGAAGGGACCCCTCTGCCTGCACCAGTCTGGCACACCGAGGGAGGACACAGCCCCTCTCTGTTCTCTCCCTTGGGAAAGCCTCAGGGTCGCCTCAGGGGCCCGCGTGTCCCCTGATGAGGGCGGCCCAGCACCAGGGACAGCGCGGGCGGATCCTCCCCGCCAGGCCTCCAGCATCGCGGAGACCCTCCCGCCGCCATCAGGGCCCTTCGCTTCCAGACGCGCGCTCAGGGGCCCGCCCTCAGCGGGCCCCCCTCACCTGAGGCCCAGGCCACACCCATGAAGTCACCTCACTCCTCTGTCCTCCGAGAGCCCCACACCATTGGCTCCCCCCACCCCCGCGGAACCACACGCCGATCCCACCTCCCCAGGCCTGGCGCCTCATCTTGGGGTCCGGAATCGCTACCCCTCACCCAGCTGGGCGACCGCGAAGCTCCTCTCAGGGCCTTGGCGTCCTCCTCGTGGCAGCAGCCCGCAGGTTGTGTTTGCGCGCCTCACTCGCTGATTGGCTGGCGCAGTGCGCCTGCGGGAGGCGGGGCCGCTTGGAGCCATACCCCCTGCAGCTCCTCCACCCGCCACCGAGGGAGAGGGCGGCACTGCCATGGACTGGGGGCCCTGGGGCCCTGGGGCACCAAGCCTTGGCAGCACCTCAGGCAGGCTCCTGACCCCATGAGGACAGGACATCGAATGGATGGCAGCGAGCCCTGCACCTCATGCGGGAAGGACGGGCCAGTGGACAGCACTGCCGTCTCCCTAAGCTGCCTTACCCGCACAGGAGGCGTCTTCGCCTTGACCGTGGTGTCTTGGACTTCCCTTCCCCTCTTCCTTTATTTTCCACCATTTCCCACGTGCAATCCCAACAGCCAACTGAACTCCCTGCGCGTCACATACTCACCAACACTTGTTGGTGAGTATGTGACATTTCCTAAGGTCGCCATTCTAACAGATGCAAAGCGATAGCTGTGCAGGTCTTTTTCGGTATGTGTCCCATCGCGAAAAGATGGAGCAGTTCTTTGACGCTCCCTGACCACTTGTGTTTCCTTTCGCGTTATAGTACCCCTGAGTGATGGTGAGCTGAACATTTGTCACTTTGAGGCTGTGTATTCTGCTCGGATTTGAAGATGGGCTTTCTACATCTGGATATCACTCTATATGGCTGTGTTTTTCCCTGCTACATCTATGAAATAGATTAGTGTTTGCTCTGAAGTCATTCGAAATTCTCTGTTTTCTAAAAAGGGTTTACGATTTTATTGGGCATTTTCAAGTCTGTGTTCATCAACACGCGACTTGGTACTTGATGTCCTGCCAAGATCAATTGCTTTGTTTTTCTTGCCAAGGTGGAAATTCAAGTTTCCCATT